TGAGAAGCAGTTATTTTAACAGTTTTGAGTGAAAGGAGAAGCTCTTTATAAGATCTCTGTGTCTGTTATCATTATATTTCTTTCTAAGCAGAGAATATTTACATAACCCCATATGATATGTATCGTACTGTAGTTAAATAATAATGGTGCTTTTTTCTCTCTTCCTTTTTCTTTTTGGAAAAAATATATTTGCCTAAAGAAGGGGAAAGTAGAGCCTAATGCCAGTTGTGTGTTTTAAACTGTGTCATGAAAGGATCCCGAAGCCGTACAAGATGGAAATTTAATTTTCTATCATGCGTTGACACTTGAGCACTGGCTGTGTCAAGGAACTCTCAATGCAGCAAGTGCTTATTGTTGACCATCATTCACTCTTTAATTGCTGGACTGAGTCTGTTGTCATTGTTCTTCATATTTCCTTTCCTTTTGGAAAGAGATGTACAGTTGAGGAGATGCAGAGTTCTAAGAAAGCCAGAGGTCATCCGCTAGGGATGGGACTTTTGGATTTTTAAACTCCAAGTCCCAGCATTCTCCTAAAAATCTCCCAGGCCGAATTCTGTGAATCCCAAGGAACACTGGAGCATACACCTTATGGCTTTGTTTGAAGCCCCTTGACTGACAGCATGGTTAAGTAATGCAAATGGCAAAATAAGAGATTATAAGGGAGGTTTTATTTTAAACTCAGTAAAATTACCAGGGCTTGAAAAATCCACTCGTCTGTGATGAGTGAAAAAAATGCTGCTTGATGAGCCACAGCTCTCTCCCTCCTTGCCTCCTTACCCTCAGTCCATCTCTCTCTCTCTCTGATCGTGCTGTTCTCCCCTCCCACGTCCCATTTCAAAAGAAAAAACAGCCCTCTTCTTGTGAGAAGAGAGTTTGAGTAGCACATGGATATATAGCTCCACAGGAAAATATACAGTACAGTGGGGTCTCGACCTACGGAATTAACCCGTATTGGAACGGAGTCCGTAGGTTGAAAAGTGTGCAGGTCGAAAATGCATTCCCCATAGGAATGCATTGAAAACCATTTAATCCGTAACCTGCCCAAGAACCCCCCCACACACAAAATTGAAATAACATATAAAAAAAACCCCTTACCTTTCTGAAGCCTTCCAGGGGTCCCCTGCCGCCGCCATCACCGCTGCTGGACGACTCTGAGGCTTTGGCGCGGCTGCCAGAGGCCTCTCAGAGCTCCCCCCCGCCGACACAGGCTTTCCCAGGGTGGACCGGGCCTACCAGATCTGCCTCCGGATGCCTTCCAGGGCTTCTCCGCCGCCATAGGAGGCATCTCAGAGGTCCCCCCCATCGCCGATAGTACCTCCAAAGCACTATTGGCGGTGTGGGGGGGGACCTCCGAGATGCCTCCCATGGCGGCAGAGATGCCCTGGAAGGCATCCGGAGGTCCCCCCCCGCCACCGATAGTGGCTCCGAAGCCTTCCATGGCGGCAGAGCAGCCTTGGAAGGCATCCCGATGCATGACCTACGGCCTACAGACTGGAAGGGGGAGGCAGGGAAAGCGCCAAATTTTAATTTGGCACCTTCCCTGCCTCCCCCTTCTGGTCCGTAGGTAGATTCTCTGGCTGCAAGTCGAAGTAAAACTATGTGGCCGGAGACCGCCGTAGGTCGAAAAGAACGTAAGTGGAGCTGACCATAGGTCGAGACTCCACTGTACTGTAGTCCCATGCTGGAGAATATGGAGATTCCCTGCTCCCAATTTCAACCCAGCAACCTGACTCCTTAAGAGGCCAAGTGCTTTTGCTTTCAGTTTTATTTTTGCTGGAGACATTCAAAAGAAAGGCATTCAAAATACAAGCTTCATGACCCCACAGGCATGCAAGTAATAAAGCAACCCAAGTCCGAGGGTATATTTAATTTGGATTTATACACATTGTTATGTAGAAAGTGCCTAGTTTAAATTTAAATTTAAGTTTAAGCATAAATTGCAAGGCTATAGTCCGGTCATGCTGACTGGTGAAATTTTTGACTGACTGGTGAGACATTCTAAAATTTTGCAAGCCCCGAAAATTACTATTTTAGAGAAAGATATGCCAGCATTATAAAGTAGGCAAAGTATACATGTATTAACCATTAAAATGTTGCTTTACAGTAACATAAAAAGTGACCTAGAAGTCAAATTCATCTTTTCATATTTATTGATTTCAAATATTTTTACTCTACTTTTCTTCTAAAAAGGGACTCAAGACAGCTTACAGCTTTAAAAGACAATATTTAAAAGCTTAAAAAAGTAAGCATAGAAATATTTTTTAAAAATCAAACAAATATCACACTAAAAATGGAAAAATAAAATCAATTCGAAAAACACATTCAAAGCCACAAGGCACAGTATGCCACTTAAAAACCTCTCTCAGACAGAGAGTCTCTAAGAGAAAGCATGCCTAAAGAGAAAGGTCTTCATCTGTGTGATTAGGTTCTTCTAAAATTGGTAACGGTTCCTTCATTTTGGCGGGAATGAGAGATGGAGATGGTTTTAAATATCTAACTGCTTCAACTTTATTTTCATCAACCTCTGGATTAATAAGGTTAAATGGGTCAAAACAGCTTAACTCAGGGATTGTTTTATAACTCAGGATCTTCACTTTGGGCATAAATATGTCACTCCTCACATTGGGGCTGGACCCAAGCGTTTGTGGTCGGTCATCAGTCTCATAAGGGTGCTCCTCACTGCACCGTCCCACAACAAGGGTGTCTCACCCAGTCCCCTTCTGGGGGTGGGTTGTTGTAGGAGGGACCGTTGACGGATCACTTTCCTCTCTCCACCTTGTCCATTCTAATGGTTTTAACACCTTCCCCTCTGTGTTGGGTGAGGCGGGATCAGGTAGTAATCCCCCTCCTGTCTTAAGATTCGGGAATTTTCTCAACAAATCACAGACCTTGCTAGTCGCTTCATCATCCCCATCTGTCTGCACTGCGCTGTCTTTCGTTTCTCTCCCTTTCTTGTGAGTTTCCACTCTAAATTCCTGTGCTTCGCTCCACTCTTTTATAGCCTCGTCTCACACTATCAGATCTTGCTTCTCCCCTTTGTCTCCTTCCTTGTCTTCCGCCAAGCACACCTCTATCGCTTTCCCCCCTTCACCTCCTCCTCTTCTGTTTTTATGAGTTTCCCCTCTATGCATCCGAACGTCTCTTCTTGTCTATCCTTTGCTGAGGATGGCACACTAGCCTCCTGTCCTTCACACACACACCCCAACGAGTGGGCCATCCTCTCTTCTGCTTCTGCGCCCCTGTCTCCCTGTCAGGAAAAAATAATCTGCGTTAGTATGGGTACTAACCTTCTTGTACTGCACCTTGAACGTGAATGCTTGGAGACTTAAGTACGAATGTGTCAGCCTAGGGTTAGTGTCCTTCATCCGATTTAACCATTTCAGTGGGGCGTGGTCTGTGACCAATGTGAAAGGAGCCCCTAGTATGTAGTATTTAATGTCTGTATTGTCCACTTAGCTGTCTGTGACCAACGTGAAAGGAGCCCCTAGTATGTAGTATCTAGGTGTCTGTAATGTCCACTTAGCTGCTAGAGCCTCCTTTTTAATGGTGGCATACCTCTGATCTTGTGTACTCAACTTCTTACTAAGATACATTACTGGATACTCCACTTCCCCCTTAATTTGTGACAACACTGCCCCTATTCGTCTGTCAGAAGCATCTGTTTGCACTATAAAAGGTAAATTAAAATTGGGAGCATACCTACTTGGAAGTTCTGCCAATATTTCCTTCAGCTCCACAAAAGCTTGGTGCTCCTCTTTTCCCCAGGTTACCTTATTCAATTTTCTCTTTCTAGTTAGATCCGTAAGTGGAGCTGCTATTTCTGCAAAGTTAGGGACGATAATATCCTGCCAAACCCAGAAATTGCTGTACCTCCTTCTTAGCTTGAGGTACTGCCCAGGCAGTTACCTTATCAACTTTGTCAGACATGGTTGGATTTTTCCTTGCTCTTCCTGGAACCCCAAAAACTTTACTCCCTTCTGAGCTATTTTACATTTTATGGGGCTCATTCTTAACCCTGCTTTTCCTAATTCGGTCAGTACCCTGTGGAGGTGAGATAGATGCTCCTCCCAACAGTTGCTGTAAATCAATATGTCATCGATGTAGGCCCCTGAGAATTCCCTCGCTGGTTCTTACACCTTGTCCATCAATCTCTGGAAGGTAGCTGCGGCGCCATGTAACCCAAATGGCATTCGGGAGAAATGGAATAGCCCTTAGGGGGTTGACAAAGGCCGTTTTCTCTTTGTCCTCCTCCCTCAGGGGAATCTGTTTCCCCCCTTCACCTCCTCCTCTTCTATTTTTATGAGTTCCCCCTCTACGCATCCAAACGTCTCTTCTTGTCTGTCCTTTGCTGAGGATGGCGCACTAGCCTCCTGTCCTTCACATTGTGCTTGTGAAAAGACAGCAAAGATGGAGCCAGCCTGGCTTCCCATGGGAGAGAGTGTCAAAGTCTGGGAGTAGTGATAGAACGGAACAGGCTGTAAAGTCTGTGGGACCTAGAGAAACACCTCATCTGATGATCTTAACACAGGGAAGACTTATAAAGGGACACATGTTTCTTGAGATAGCTAGGACCCAAGCTGTTTAGGGCTTTATAGGTTAAAACCAGCACTTTGAATTGTACCTGAAATGGATTGGCAGTCAGTGGAACTGCTGCAATGAAGAGGGGAGGTTATATGATCCTTGTGAGCAGCCTCAGTTAACAATTTGGTTGCATTGTTTTGGACCCACTGAAGTTGCTGAACACTTTCTGAAGGCAACCCCAAATACAATAAGAAAGTAAAATCTCAGAGTGAAGAGATTTTATTGCAATGGGAGAAGGTTGCATGTTTCAGTTCCTTAGAAGTTCCTGTTCTCCATGAGCTTTTGTGCAGACTGAAATGGATGTTACTATTTCTCTGGCATCTGAAGCCAATCCGAACAACTCAGAAATGACATTTTAAACGCATTTGTTCTTTGCATGTTCTGTCCTTTTAAGTGCATATGCTCTATATGTGACCATAATGTTATATTTGCAACTTGTTACTCACAAACTTTCCTTTCTCTTTCATTTTCAGGCAGAAATTGTCAAGAGGCTGAATGCCATCTGTGCCCAAGTCATTCCCTTCTTATCCCAGGAGGTAAGGGAGGGTCGTTCACATGTACTGACTTCGGAATTACTTCAGATAATTGTTTTAATTGACAGAGATCAATGAGGTCTCTCTGGTTGCATGATGGTTGCAAAAGATTTTTATTCATGTCTCTTCAGTTTCGTTCCTAGCTATCATCTCATTATGTGAATATTCACTTGGATATCATATGCACACATGCAACAGTTTAAAAGAGTGATCTTAAATATCTGTGCCAGTAGCTCCCCAGCCCTCTGCGTCAATATAAAGTCAGAATAATTAGACTGTAGGATTAGACTCCTCTTCATCCATCAATCTGGTTCCGATAGAAGTCAGCTGGATGCCTCTTGAAACTCACAAGCAGGGCATAAACATTATAGTCATCCTACATTGTGCCTTCCCTCTACACCAGCGGTCCCCAAACATTCTTGGATTGCAACTCCCAGAGGCCTTCACCACTAGCTGTGCTGGCAAGGGTTTCTAAAAGTTACAGTCCAAAAACATCTGGGGACCCAAGGTTGGGAACCACTGCTGTATACCGTATGTATGCTAATTAGACCAGAATTTGGAAAAGTAATGTTTTTGGCCTATAGCTTCCAGAATTCCCTAGCCAGTGGTCATGCTAGTGGAGATCTGGGAGATCTTGTCTTAAAATTAACCTTCCCTACCACTGAATTTAGAAATATACTGCTGCTGAACATGGATGTCCTTGTGAGCTGTTTTGATGACAGCTATTGAGACCAATGAATGTGTCTGGTCCTTTTTTCCCCCCCTTTATACTTGTCAAAATCAGTAACCAGGCCCATGATGTGGAAAGCTGAATTCCAGAATTCCAGAGTTGTAGAGAGTCAGCAGCATCCTGCATCCAACACTGTTTAGTCTCATAGCTGTATGCTTTAGGATTAGGTAGTAAGTTACATAAAAATTTTTCTCTGTCATGTTGATGCATGGATTCTCAGAAATATGACTCCGTCGAGCTGGCACCTAATAGGATATATTGAAAAATTGCGGGAAAGGCATGATTTGTGCAACATTATTGACAATTGCTGTTAAGCTTGGCAGAAAAATATGAAGAACCATCAACTACTGATGCTACTGATAGTAAACAGCCTAATGCAGTCTCTCCCCTTTCCTACATCCTTTAGCTGCTGCTCAGTAGTAAAGCAAATGCATTGTATTCAAAGGGCCCTAAATGCACTCCCCATCTAGAGCCTATAGGTAGGGCTAGTGGGTGCTTATATATTAGTATATAAGCAGCATCCTTTCTAGACCTCTGGAGGGCTGTTGCCAGTCATAGACAGTTTCCAGCTAACTGGACCAATGGTAGGTTACGTTTCTGTCCACTAAAATCATTCATATACTTTAAAGAGAGAGAGAGAAAAAAACCTTGTTAAAATGTGCATTTGAGGGGAGAAGATATATCCCTAAGTATATATCCTGTTTCCCTGAAAATAAGACCTAACCTGAAAATAAACCCTAGTATGGTTTTTCAAGATGCTCGTAATATAAGCCCTACCCCCAAAATAAGCCCTAGTTAAGTGAAACCCCACCCTCTACCATTATGCAGCAACTGGAATAAGATGGCATGACTGTAAAATAAAACATCCCCTGAAAATAAGCCCTAAAATTAATATAAGACCCCGTCTTATTTTCAGGGAAACACAGTATGATTTCCTTGAAATGAAGCCATGATTTCCTAGCAGATGACTGTGGAAATGTAAGAGGCTTTTAACAGAAGCTAGCTCCCCTTGCCCCAATAATGTGTTGTGATTGACTTGTGGAGAAATAGAAATATATGAGTCTTTGGGCAATTAAAATGTCATGTAGATTAATAGCAGATGAAACTTTGTTTGTTGGGTTGGTTGTGGAGGGCAGGGTAGATTAAATTGGCAGAACTTTAAGACAGCTTTTCATGTTTAAATACTTTTGTCTGTCTTATGGTTAGTTCTCATTTTTCTCTCTTAGGAATTCTCTTTTATAGCAGAATTTCGGAATATGTGTTCATGATTGATTCCTTCACCAGTTCTCATAGTAATGACAACACGTGTTGCAGTCATGGCACCTTAGACCAGGGTGGGCAGTTGTGACCCTCTGTGTGTTTCTAGCCTATAACTTCTATCATCTTATCCTGCATAGCTAGTGCTCAGGAGTTATGGGAGGAGTACTTTAAAAGAAAATCAGGGGAAAATGTATTTGTTCAACTTGGCTTTAAACATTTTTATTGATTAATTTAATCAGGGTCAACATGGAGTTTTATCTTGAGGAGCATTTATTTTTTCAAGATATTTATTTAGATTTTTGGACCACACACTCTCAAAGGCAAAAGCACCCCCTGCTAGAAAGCCCACATAGCAGAATGGAATGAAAGAATAATACTTAGTGATTTTTATCACTCTTGGCCAATGTAAACTGAGTCACAAAGGTCAACCCAAATAAATATAACTATGCTTCCATATGGTGCTCAGGTTTGGATGTTAAGTTTATAGTTAAGTATAAGTTTATACTCGCTGGGTATCTTTAAAAACCAACTAAAAATGTGGATGTTTCGGCAGGCCTTCCCTCCAGCTAATCCCAGCTAATTCCCTCCAGCCAATCCCTGATGTTTTCCTTTTCTTTCTTTATTGTGAATTACTTTGTTTGTTTTCCATCTTGTTGAAGCTGTTTATTGTATAATAATTCTCTTTTATCTATATATGTATTCATGTATGTTATGATGTAAGCCGCCTAGAGTGGTCGTAATTGACCAGATAGGTGGGATATGAATGAATGAATGAATGAATGAATGAATGAATAAATAAATAAATAAATAAATAAATAAAATAGTGAGAATGCATTCCATTATTGTAGAGAGGGGAGTTTGCTAAAGTGTCACTTATATTGCATCATTGATGCAAAGATGGCTGTTATCAGGAAAGTAACCAGTGGATCTTAGAAACTGGAATGCAGTCTCTAAATACACATTGGGGCTAAACCACTTATCCTTTATAAGTTACAATCAACAAGCTATGCAGTGACAGGAAAGAGAGCCAGTGCAAATATGGGAATATTAGGCTAAATGTCTCCTCATGATCCACAACCTTTAGATGATTACTGAAATCATTTAAAAAGACAATTAAAAACTTGGCTATTTAGGCATGCCTTCCCTCCAGTCAGCTAAGTCTTTTTATTTCTTGTTATCTTACCCATCTTGGTAATTTTTTCTTAAATTAATTGTTTTAATTACTATAGTAACTGTATTTTTAATGATTATATATATTTTATATTGATTTTTATGTTGTAAGCCGCCCTGAGTAGACATGGTCTAGAGGGGCGGGGTATAAATTTAATAAATAAATAAATAAATAAATAAATAAATATAGCATCTGAAACTTCTTGATTTTTCAGAAAGCATTAGGCTTGCAGAATTGAAAGACATTTTGCCACTACTGGGCTTCCAGGTTATAGCAGTGGATCAGAAGCAGCCTGTGGCTGCTAACCCGAGGGTGCAGTCAGATCTCATTTAGGGTGAGGAGTCAATGATCTTCTCTTGTTCATAAAACTGTTTGATTATGATGGCCTTTGTGTGTCGGAATCTATGTTCATCTGACTTGCTTGCAACAAATAGCTCAGTGTCAACAGGCAAGTGTAAAGCTACAATAGACAGAACTGAGTTAGCATTTTTGGATAGCTCAGTGGCTTAGGTATCTGTTTGTGGAGTTAGAGGTTAGAGGTTGTATCCCCCCACCCCGCCTCCTTGACAGGGGCTGGATTTAATGATTCATAGGATCCCTTCCAGCTCTGCAGTTCTAAGAGGATGATGATGAGCTTGTGTTATGTGTAAGTCACTGAGGTTAATTGCCAGAATCCAACTGGTGATTTACTATTGTGTAAGTGAAATGGTGGAATTCCTGGGGGCATTACTACTAATTAATAGGTGCTGGTTGCGTTCTTTGGCATGCACCCAGGAATACAATGAGTACCTGATTAATTAGTTAGATTTTTCCACCTGCAGCTTATGTCATTTCACTTAGGCAAGAATAAATTACCAATTGGATTCTAGCCAGTTTGTGTATGTGTACATGTATAGCAACATGCATGTTAAAAATAGTATTAATTTGAAATAAACCCCTTCATTTTGGAAAGGAAAGCAAGAGATGATGTATTGCATTTAATGCTAATTCAGGCTGCAGTAAATATGTCTGGCTGGACAAGAAGGTAGATATGAATCTCTTGTTAGATTTCTGGGTGGTTTGCACTAGATTTCCTTATCTTTTGACTCCCAGTTGTTCAATAGTAGTAACAAAAAGGATGCTTTCCTCTGTCTTCTTAATTAGGTTGCTGAAATAAATCAAAATTGGGAGAAAATAAAGAGTAGCTTATATGTGAAAGTAGTGTACTCAGTTCTGGTGCTGTAGACAAATTCTTGATGCAAAGGACCAAATTCTTTCATCCTTCTAGGCATATGTCTACTCTGGTCCACTATTTTGTATCTGACTCTGCTTTGTAGACCTGCAAACTCTTTTTAAACAAACAAACACCTGTACCAAAGTGGAACTCCAAGAGCCTGAAGTCTATCCATTATCTGCAATACTGCAATATGATCAAATATAGTATTAAACAGTAATTCTAAGCACCTGCTTCTTGGTGCCTTACATTCCTCACTGACTTGTTTGTTTGAAAGCTACTTTAAATATTCCCTTTAGAAGCCTGCCAATTATTTCTGTCTTCTGCTTTCTTTATTGTGTTCCAACACACAAATGAGGTTCTTCCCTGCTTGAATTGGCAGTGGTGGGTGTGAATGTTGTTTTCTTTTGATGTCCTTATTTTTAAGGTACTTTCCATTAAAATTGGAAGTCTGGCTGAGGCAGATGCCAACAGTGCAGAAGACTTCATTGTGCGACTTGTTTGATCATTTGTTGACTGCGTAGCCATTTAGATTAAGACACACCCTAAATCATGGACTGTTTTCTGGATGGCGATTTTGAACCAATAATGGCCTAAATCAGAAGTAGGGGACCTTTGGCCATACCATC